ATGGATATAATATATTATCATGGAACTCAGAAAACTATGCAGCTTTATTCATTTTGTATAAGACAGCACAAGATTTTGATTCTTTAGGTATTATATAAGCAAAGTTATTATTTTGTGTTATTATTGTTAGTCTGCTATGATTATAAACATTTTATTAGGATTTACTATTGAAGAAGATCTGTTATTTGAAATGAAATATTTATGTGGTCATGCATCCAAAGATTCAATTTTAAAATTATTTGATAATGGTTTAGTGTCCATGATAGGTGCACCAATAAGGTAATCAATAACAAATAAAAGTTATTGTATTAAAATTGTATGACACTACTAATCTTATAATAACTTATACAGGTACACTCTTACTCAAGAAGGTGTAAGCATAGCAAAAAAAGTATTTGAAATTACCAACACAAATATAAAATTAATTAATTCTTCTGACGCTTTAAATAAAATTGAAACATGTTTGAATGCATTATTTTCATGTAAATCTCCAATAAATCCAGACGAAAAGAGTTGTAACAATAAAGATACAAATGCACAACTGCTTAAAGAGTGTCAAAATATTGGTAATAATTTAATCGAATCTTCGCAAAGTCAAAAGTGTCAACTGTCACAACCTACTGAAAATAGAAAAAATAAAGTGCAATGTAGTCAGTATTCTATGCAAGAAAAGTTTGATGAAGATAATCTTGTAGAAAAATGTAGAAAAGCAAAGAATGTTAATAAAGATGAATCAAGTAAACAGAGTAGTAAAACTGATACTACCGATCATTTACAAAAAAAGATATATTTAGAATGTAACAAATTTGATATAATATTGTTAGTGGATACACAGGAAACTTGTGGGTATGTATCATTCTATCTATTATTTGTATTACTGATAATCTTTAAAAAAAGAGTACATTTTAGTGGAAAAACGAATCCTCAGCATGATGCTACAATTGTAGAGTTAAGGCAATTCGGAGTATTATTTGAAGTGCGTCATTTAAAAGTTGGTGACTTTGCATGGATTGCTAGATCTAGGGAAACAAATAATGAATTGATTCTGCCATATATAGTAGAAAGAAAAAGAATAGATGATTTAAGTGCTAGTATTACAGATGGGAGATTTTATGAACAGAAGGTAATACAATAGTTAAATGTTTCAATTATTTTATATTTAAGATTCATCATTTGTTCTTATTTAGTTATAAAAAAAAACTATTTCATATAGTTTCGACTGAAGCAGTCTGGGATTGAAAATCTTATGTATATAATTGAGGAATATGAAAAAGGTCAAAGATTACCAATACCACATTCATCGCTGATGCAAGCTTCTATAAATACTTTAATACAAGATGGATTTTCAATAAAATATACTAAGAATCATAAAGATTCTATGTTTTATTTATCATTGTTAACTAGAATTTTAAATGACGTTTTCAGAGTATGTAGCCTTTTTTTATTGCTATTAAGGAAAACTATTGATACATTACATTAAACGATATTATTGTTATTGTAGGAAAAGAATTTGATGGGGTGCAAAAAAGAAAATCTTGTTCAAACAGATGTTTTAAACAATACTGTTAATCTAATGGAATTTGAAGAATTTAATAAAGCAGCGTCAAAGCAAAAAGTATATAAGAAAATTATATTCATTTAACGAGCCTAAGTATCATTTATATCAATAAGTGTTTTCTTTTTTTAGGTTTTTAATGTGACTCAAATGTTTGTTCGCCAACTATTACAACTAAAAGGAATGTCTATAGATAAAGCTTTGGCAATTGTGGAACGTTATCCTACACCAAAAGTATTGGTTGAGGCTTTTCAACAATCCAATTGTAATGGAGAATTATTGCTATCCAATATTGAATTTGGGAACAAAAAGCGTCTCATAGGATCAGTAATTAGTAAAACAATTTATCAATTATATATAAACAAAATTTTAAATTGATTAATTACTATTTTTATACGTGCATGTAAAGAATAAATATTACCACATTATTCTAATAATTTCTAATACTTAAATTTCATTTTACTCTTTTAAGATATACCATAATATGATTCATATCACGAACCATTATAGAGAAAATAGAAACAAGAAAAAACATATAAATCACTATATTCTACTTTAGACATATCATTTAGAATTATATTTATAAATTTTGCCTTGATTAAAAAATAATTAGTAGAACTGTCATATTTAATGCATTACAATGCACAACTGTAAGTCAACATTTTTTATTATATTGAAAGAAACTATTCATTTACGTGAATTATCAAATAGATCAGAAAAACAATGGTAAATATGTTCAATACTTTGAAATCTCATTGGCACGTTTTACTGCGTGAACCTTAGAGTAACAGATATCTTTACTTAATAATGCTTCAGCAAATTATGATTATATATTAAAAAGAATAATATCTCAATTGTATTGTACATTTATTTAATAACTTGGCCGTACGTTGTAAATAAATTAATTATGGAAAGTTCAAAACATACGTAGAATGACGTAAACAAGAACACTTTGGACCAAGAACTATCAATGCGGGCATCCTTGTAGCAGTCATAATATTTTATTTCTATTCACTTTGTTTTTTAACTGAACATGTCTTCGAAACATGTCACTAGAATACTTACGAGGAAAAATTCTAGATTTCGTACCCCCTCGCGGCAAATATAGAAAGCGTTGCAACACGCGACTAGCAAAACTTGAACGCGCTATGAGTTGCCTACCCAGTATCGAACTCTGCATCGCAAGTCACGGTTACAAACGTACCTCGGGAGTTTGTTGTTCGCTTCCTTAGTGTATCGTATGTGTTTATATTGGTTTTTTGTGTAAAACCTGCCGAATTTTTACGATGAGTGCTGAGGAGGAGGTGCTACGAATTCAAAAGAAATTGAACAAGATGTCAAGCGGTGACGGGACGGTGAGTAAGTGAGTAAAATAAAGATAGTTGTGTTTCGCTCAACAGATTCGACCCTGCTCATCAAGAACGAAAGTTAATTTTCGTGATAAAATGCGATTACCGAAATATTATTTGCTCGTGCCGCATACACAACCTACTACCCGAACCAAATTATTACGTTTCAGACGATAATATTCATGAGTGCGAATTTCAGTGAGTTCTCAGTGTTTGTATTATCTAAGGCGGTCAACGTATTACGGAACTTGAATATCTAGTATTCTAATTTTAACTTAATAAAGCGTTCGCTAAGGTTAAATCGTGCTTTTGTTGTAAAATTTATTGAAGCATGTGTTGTACATTTAGTTACATAGTTTCAAGTTAAGTCACTTATGAAGACTGCAATAGTGTGGATCCGATATCTAAAAGTGTTTGTGTGTGTACATCTGTTGGTTGTATTATATATTATCTAACGAAAAATGACTGTCAGGAATGTGAATTATATTATCAAACTGTATAAGTTCGAGCAATGGAAACTTTATATACAGTATATTTAAATAAATAATAAATAATGATTAAGTAAATTAATTAGTGATTATTTAATCGTTAACGTTATAGTATAAAATCTGTATTATAAAATATTTAATGTCTTTCATATAGTCACAGTTTATATTTTTTTTACAACAAAGGAAATAATTACTTTTGTTTCAGGGTCAGGAACAAGCTTTGGATTTACTCAAAGTATTACAAAAGCTGCCTGTTGATTTAGAACTTTTGACTAAAACTCGTATTGGAATGACCGTAAATGCATTGAGAAAATCGAGTAGGGATGAAGAAGTTATTTCACTCTCCAAAACTCTTATCAAAAATTGGAAAAAATTCTTATCCGGTAAAGAATTATTATTTATGTAGATAAGTATAGCAATAAATTGATGAATTTAAACTCTATGTCAATATTTATGTTTATTTAGGATCGAATAAAGAAAAAGATTCTACTTCTTCGAGCAGTTCAAAGAAGAGAGATGATAAATCAGAGAAAAATAAAGATGATGGAGATCAGAAAAAAGACAAGGATAGCACTGATGGCGATGCCAAAATGAAAGAAGACAAAGCTCATAAAGACATGCAAAGGAAACAATCAACATTCCCTGCTCCTACCACAACAGACGCTGTTAGGCTCAAATGCAGAGAACTATTGGCAGCGGCTTTGCGAGTGGATGGAAAAACAATTGAAGGATGTGCTTCTCCAGAAGAACTAGCTGAGGAGTTAGAGGAAGCAATTTATGCAGAATTCAAAAATACTGATAACAGATACAAAAATAGAGTAGGTATATTTATATTGTTCATGTTTACATGTTTGTGTATGTAAAACAATAACTTAACATTAAAGTACAATTAATTTTTTAGGTGCGAAGCAGGGTAGCAAACTTGCGTGATGCAAAGAATCCCAATCTTCGAACTAACTTTATTGCCGGTGCTATAACACCCGCCCGACTTGCTGTGATGACTGCTGAAGAAATGGCAAGTGACGAGATAAAACAGCTACGAGAACAGTTCAAAAAAGAAGCAATTAACGACGCGCAACTTGCTACTGTGCAAGGAACAAAAACTGATTTATTGAAATGTGGTAAATGCAAGAAACGCAACTGCACTTACAACCAAGTACAAACGCGTTCAGCTGATGAACCTATGACTACTTTCGTGTTATGCAATGAATGCGGGAATCGATGGAAGTTTTGCTAAATAACTTGATTTTTCAAAGTCTTCTTCGAGGAGGAAATGTATTTCGTTCAAAACCTGCCTATTAACATTCGCTAGAGTCAACGAAACAACAGTGAAGATGATATATTACATGAAATTTACAAGACATGGACTGTACATTGATGGTTTGGTGAATTTTTAATTCCTCCACAAATATTCAATTCCTATTGTATATATTAAAATTCTAATCTAATATGTCTCGAACTTAAAGAAGTTTACATCAAACCTGAAAACAAATTCGATTAGTTAGAGGAATTAACTTCAAATCATTAATTAGTGCTCTAAACTCTAAAACGTGTGTGAATGATATTAAAATGAAAATGACTTTTCATTTTACACTGTACAACTTCTGATAGTGTTTTAACCATGGAAAAGTTCTCACTTGTGGGTACAGTTCTGAAATACATACATGTGACTATAATGCAGTAGTTTTGCAACCCTATACATGATGAAAATTAAGACATTACTCCTAAAGATAAGGAGAATTTTTGGTTTTGTAATTAGAAGTCTCGTTTTTATTTAAGCTGTTCAATTTTTTGTTTTACTTGTACAGCTATGAGTTTTGAATATAAAGTAGTGAATTGTAAAAGAAAGGTAAAATTTAAATTCGTTTTGTGCGGAATTTTTAGCACTGAAATAATTAGATCTTATTTTAGTTTCAGTACATGAAACGAAACGAGACGCAGTATATTTTTTACTAGCACTTTTGCTGGTTCATCTGAATGATGTGTGTGTACATCCCTTAATTTTAATATGAGCATTCTATTTGAAAATTTTAATAGCGGAAATGATCCTTTAAAAGGTTATACCGCTTACATCGTGAGAAAACATACAGACTGTGGTAAAAATAATTTGTAAAATTAGCTCCTCAAACAAATGGCGCCGTTCGTTGCAAAACAGTCAAATTGTATGAACTGAATATTAATTTTATATCCTCGTTTTGTGTTAAGATTAACGCATTTGGACTGATGTAATTAGAAAATATTTAAAAAAAGCTCGAATTTTATAAGACATACAATATTTTTGCAAACTGTTTTCATGTTTTATGAAAATCTAATGAATTTGTCGCTACAAACATCGATTCTATGAAGATCATGGTATTTTTCTGCTGCTGGAATTACAACACGTTGAAACGTCTGTATTTCAACAAACGATAAATAAAGATTTAAAAATCAAAGGAAGACATAATAGAGATTTTAATCTAGGCCATTATACGACAATTTTGGCGCTTTGAAACTAGAATCTGAAAGATTCTAGAATACATATCGGTGTAACCGAGCTAAGACAGGACAGGGCAATGAATTTTTTCAGAACAAAAAAAATTGTATCGAAATTACTTAAGTTTTAAGTACGCTATCACAGACGAGGTATAATACTTTATGAGATATTATACCTCGTGTGTGATGGGACAAAATAATAAACATTGAATTGTTCCAGTTGCTGCGACCCTATTCAAGCATATCACCAGCCGGGGTGTTTATCAAAATATTTACAAAATCTCAGTTATACCGGATACGTGAAATCTTTAAAGCGGTAAAAATTTCACATTCGATAAACAAGTCGACCATGTTGCGTGTGCAAAAATATGTTTTGTTGTGTTCGGTGCCAAAAACGACACGAGAAGACTTGTGGCGTCCACTTTCCCACCTCTCCGAGAGAGGGCTCAGACTTCGAGCCTTTCTCGCTACTAAGTATCGAAAAAAAATAATTTTTAAAAATCCACTTTCTTGTCCCGGATTGGTGACGCCACATAGTGCGAGACCGCTGAAACTTCTAGCCAAATAGTACCAGATTGTCTCCGTTAGGTGGCGTAACCAAATCAACTATCTCTGTCCTCCTTACTCGCATATATACCTACAATTTGCCTCTCTCAGTGTCGTCGGCTTGTCGGTTAAATGTGCACAAGGGCAGGGGGTGACGTTCACTCGTCGCGTTCGGCCCGATTGTACGGCGTTTTAGTTTCGGCACGTTCTTGCTATTATCCGTTTGCTTTCTTTGTCTCGCTGGACCAATAACAAAGACGTGCCGAAACTGATGATAGCCGACAGAGCGGGTTCCAGATGAGGAGAGGCGAGCTGTATTGTATCTGCTGGAAAATAAAGAATTTACAGTTCAAAATCGAATGTTTGTCCTGTCTTTTTTTTATCTTTGTATCGATCTAATTATGTGCCTTCTATCGACTTTTTCATAAAGCCCCTAGGAGATTTGAATTGTCATCAAGTTGAAAATACATTCTACCAATTTCAAAAAAATATATTAAAATGCATCACGCCTCGAGCACACCACGGTTAAGTCGGATATTATTGGAAATGAAATTTCGATCAAGAATGTATAAATGAAGAATTTGATTCATTTGATTTTTGTAAACACGTGGGTTATTCTGCGTGTCGGCGATGAACGCACAAATTTTGTTTCGCACATAGCTTAACCCATTTTTCCACGAGCATCCTAGAGTGGAACGAAGGGGTTATCGCGCTGGCAGTAGATGTCATCTAATTTAATGTTGCAAATGAGATCATTGCAGTTGATCAACGTGATAATGACAAAATTACTCTATCTGGGCAGTGACTAAATTTCAAATTGAACGCGATAGACGCGCCTCCTTACAGTTGATGCTGTAGCTACAGATGCTTCTAGCAACTTGGATTTTACTGTTCAATTACTTATTTGCGTGTATACATTAATTTCTAACCTAACATCAGTCAGTTGCATTCGTGTTATCCAACGTTCATGCAATACACGCTCTTAAACATTTCTCTAATAACATATGATTCATTACTAAGATTATCTGAGAAAATGATGTTGCGTGGTTCCACGTGCATCAAATGACAGCGTACGTGTTTGAAGTAAACTTGTTTATTATCATGTAATTTTAAAACGGAACACTTCGATGAGGTAACAGGGGATGGGAATCAATGGATATATACAATAGCAGAAAACGATGGTTTTTTGGTACCGTTAGATAATTTTCTTGCGAGCTGCAAACGAAGGCCGATTTCTCTAGAAAGATATCATTCAAAGTATAAGTAAATTGTTGAAGTACAGGTCTGAATCACAGATATTCTCTAACCATCACTATGTGCGAAAACGCCCACATTGAAGAGCAACGGCAACTTTTACAAAGTTTACGGACTACCGTCGAAGGATTATTAGTCGATGGTGTTTTAAACGTGTGGAATGTTTACGGTGGTTTAAATCGACTTCACCATGTAATGGAGCGGATATTTAAACATGGCTGTCGAATATTTAATCGAAATGTAAGATAATATTCTGATTTGTTTACTTTGATATATTGTTACATGCTTAGAATTGTTTATATCGGTTGTAATTAATAATATTTTTTCATTTCCTTTTGCGATCTGAAAAAGTTTTATATCACTATGTACATTGTAAGTATTGAATTACATTATCAGTAGCGTTATTTTATTTTTTCGTTTTTATTCAAGATATTTTGTATACTTTTTTTTTCATAACTGAAATTAGTGTCGCCATACTTTGATAATTGGTAAAACATCAACAACAACAACAACAATGAGAAATATTACTGCACAATGTTGACATTGAACAAAGCCAAAAATAATTGAAATTTTTTATAAGGGAGAACCAGATTGTTGGATTTTTATTCAAGGATTAAATTGGTTACAACCTTCGTTAGCTGTGTCACCTGTTCTATCTGAAGTTGAGGATTACCTTTCAAATTTACCAGCAAGAATAACATCCCAAAAAGATATGTTATGGCTATATAAAAGGTATACATGACAATGAATGAATGTATTAAGATGTAAGAAAGCTTGTATTTCATAATATGATTTAATATATAAATTATACAACATAATTTGAAAATTATTATAATATAGCTTGGAGAGTCATTCGTTATCACATAAGCTTTCCTGGCTTTTATCTGATAAAGAACATTTACTTTCTTGTTTCGAACCATGGGCATTTTTATGTCAAGAAAATTTGGCTGAAGCCACGCTCTTATGTTTAAGAGCAGTTGAACGAAATCAACCGGTTTTATTGACAGAAATTGACCCATTTTTGGTAAGTTACTTAAATGACATTATATATAGTCTATAACAATATTTAGATTTTTTATTTACATATAACTATTTTTAGTTCCTACCTTCTTGGATTTCTCCCAAAACAAGTCCAAAGAGGCATCGACGTTCCTCTTCGTATCCAATTAATTTTTCTACAACAAATTTCAGTGTGGCAAGAGACAGAAACATACACATTGAAAACTGTCAGTTAGAATCACTGAGAATATCAGAAAATGCAACGATTCAACAAGATAATATTAAGCCTGAAGAAAATTATCACAAGACAGATGTCAAAGAAGTTAATGATATACCTTTAAAAACTTGGAATAGTCTCTCTGCGCTAACTAAAAGCTATACAATTTCAAGTACGAATTCTCCCTCTTCATTAACTGTTGCAGATACTATCTCCCATAAAAGTAATGAATCTCAAACCTCTAAAGTTGAATTATCAAAACTAATTAATGTGAATTATGCTGAATTAAAGCAGTCTACCTCTATTGTTATCGATAATAAATTATCTGTAAGACCTAGAACACCTTTAAGAAAAGCAAAAAGTAGAAATAAGATGAAACAAACGCAAACAATTAAAAAGTCCATTGAGGGATCCGATTCAATAAATAACGATGATTCATTAATAAATACAGTAAAAGAATATCGTATTCCATCCTCATCATCGAACGAAACTGATGAGAACAAACATACAACAGATTCTGCGAAAGTTAATATAGCTCAAAAATCAAGAAGAAAAAATTCTTTTTTACCCGGATCGGCACCCGAATTTAGTGGCCCATGGAGTTTAGAAATCGAAGGTCAGAAGGATATTAGAACACCAAAGAAGAGTTTCATGGAAGATGGTGGAAGTAGTGTTCAACCAATGGCGATAGGATATTTTCCACGTCCGGTAGAAGGTCAAAGTTTGACAAGCTTTCTAGCATCTGCACAATTTTCTAGAGCCAACGCCGAATTGGATAGAGAAAATGCACACTTCAGTGTTTCCGAAGCCATGATAGCTGCCATTGAACAGGTAAAATGCAATAGACAATGGTGTTTTATGGAAGAAGCAATCGAAGAAAGCGATGAGGAAATAAACAGTTTAAAACAAAGAATACGATTACGTCGTCGTCAACGACAAGAGGAGCGAAGCAAAAGAAGAACGTGGAATCGAGATCTATTGAGTGACGGAAAAACGGATACAACTACTACTGATCAAAGTGTTAGCCCTTTGTCGACTTCATCGGATACTCCATCTGAGAATATCTCTACAGACGATGTAGAGGATATAGAAATGAATGATGAACGAAATGCATTGAAACTTAAAAATGCTGGAATTTCAATTTCCATGGCATCTTTGTATTCTGATGCAGATTTGTATCAGTCGTCTCCTTCGCATGGAACGGAATCGACCCTGACTGAAAGCAGTATGTCGGCTGAAGGTGTAGCTTTATCGCTTATTAGTAGGTTTAGTGAAAAACAACTGCCAAGGGCAAGCGAATTACAATGGTTAGTCTCTGAAAAAGATGCACCGCAAAGATTATTACCGTTACCTAAAAGTTGGCCCGTTAGTCCGGATGAAACAGAAAGTTCACAAACGATACCGTTGCGTGGAACCACGGAATGGGCTCCTCCTAGACCACAAATTATTTTCACGCCTCATCCTCCACCAGTGTAAGTTTATAAATTTAAGTAACAATGTTGGCATTATATTAAAGTACATAATCGAATATGAAGGAATTCCTTCGTTTAGGCGGCGCACACTTATAGCCAAACAGAATTACAGATGTGCAGGGTGTGGAATGAAAGTAGCAGTGAAATATGTAAATAAATTTCGTTACTGCGAATATTTAGGTAGATATTTCTGTACTGGTTGTCATACCAATCAAGTGGCATTAATACCAGGGAAAATTTTATCTAAATGGGATTTTAATAGGTACGATAACTTTTTGTTCGTATGATGTATATGATCAGTATAATTCTATGATACCCTTGTAATTGTTCATAATGTGTTCTTTTAGATATCCTGTATCAAATTTTTCGTACAGACTATTAGATCAGATGACCTTAGACCCCTTGTTCCAAGTGAATGATTTAAATCAATCACTTTACAGACGTATAAAGCAATTAGATAGAACGAGATTACTACGTACACAATTATTTTTTTTTAAAGACTTTCTATTCACATGTCGCTTCGCAACAAGGTACGAATTCGGATTACTTGTTGTCGATGTTCAAACAATGTTTAAAAATTTATATTCTCCTTTATAGTGTTCAAGAAATGTTGAAAAAAGAACCAAATTACATAATAAGTGATCCTCACGTGTATTCCATTCAGGATCTAATGCATGTTAAATACGGAATTCTGCCTATAAGATTACAAGAATTAGTTCAAGTTTGCAACATGCATATTATAGGATGCGAGGTAAAACACTTGTTTATATTGACGATGTGAATCGTATTTTTATGACAAGCAAATTTCTATTCTAGTTATGTCAAGCTAGGGGATTTGTATGCGAATCATGTTACTCTAAAGATATTATATTTCCATGGGAATTGTCGAAAGTCAGTAGGTGCGAAATGTGTGGTGCCTGTTTTCATACCGAATGCAAGCAGAAATTTAACAAAACAGACTGCCCGCGATGCGTACGTTTGCACATCAGACGAATATCCAGGGATGAGAAATTTTGACACACGGTAATATCGTCTTATATTGTGCGTTTATTTGTAGAAATTGAATTGATTCTCTAAATAGGAAATTGAACATAAATTATTGATTCCAAAAGGCTATATTTTCTAAAACTAGACATATTTAAGATTCTATTTATTGTATTTATCTTAGATTTATTAGTAAAAATTGTATAATCTCTTCATTTTATTGAAAATTCGATATATTCGTATTTATAGAGCTTTTGAATCTGTAATGTTGAAATCGTTTAAAATTTTTAAGATACAGTATTCCTGTAAGTAAAACCTTATTTATTGCAGTTATACGAACTTCAAATGTAGCAAAGACTGAACAAATGTGATATTTAAATGAAATTATAACTTTATCACTTAAGTATTTTAATACATTTTTGTCATTGTTACGTATTTATTCGTTTAATATTACGTAATGTGTTATTGTAGGAAAAGGAAGATAAAACATGAATTATTGTTTATTTATAAAATTTTAACTGTAAACAGTATAATTTATTT